AAAAATACAAAAAAAAAAACAAACAAACAAAAAAAAAACAAAAAAACAAAAACAAAAACAAAAAAAAACAAAAAAAAATGTGTTTCTTACAAACAACAAACGAATTCCACATACAGTCTGTAGTGATTCAATGGTATTTTAATATCTGCTTTAAATTTTACCTGACGCCTTATAGTTAAGGGTAAAATCAGTTTCTATTTAAAGACATCCTTGCGTTCATCTGGTAGACGTGGTTATCGATACCTACAATTCTATATTGATAACTAAATAGTGTTTAGGATAGATAAACTGATGCTATAGCGTAGTATAAATGACTTGTTGATTTAGTGGTTTCTCTGACGCCGGGATATCCATGTATTATGTTCATATAAAACCACCTAAAGGTAATAAGCTTAACGTTAAAGGGAGGCAACTCTCATACAATTGTTTTTTTATTCTGGGATACTAGGATCATTTACATAATTCATCAATTAAACTATATGAAGAGGGGTGTCTTGACTTCTAGTTGACGAATTATGATTGGTTATCATACAGTCAGGTTATACTATATCTGTATTCTCTGTACACCATTCACTTTTCTAATTTGGATGTTACCTCATTGTACGTGCCTAGCTGTAGAGTTGACTTTGGCAAGTCATTTGACTCAGCAAATAGCCGCTCGCTTCAAGAAAAGGTTAATAAAGTACTAAATTTACAACCAACAAAACGTCTAAAAATATGTGAACTCTTACATGGAAACGGTCGAGATTTTCCTTCTATAAATCGTTTACCTGGTGGCTATTAGTGGCACCGCTTTGCTCAACTTTTATCCCTAGTACATGAGCAATGATTGTGACATAGCCATGGCTTCTATCCCTACCTGCATGATGATATAAAGACACAACCGAAGTAATGGTAATATAACCACCTGTGCATGCCATCCTAGCACCCCATGGCTTAGTCTATTGGTCAAGACATGATCATACTTCATGATTTCAACCATATACATTTATCTGCTGGCAGTTTATGAAGAGTCATAACATTGGAATAAAAACTTGATTTGCATATCTTGTGATACACATTTTGTTTCTTTAAATTAAATTGAACTATCATTTATTGAAAGGCCTTCACTTTCATAAAACCGGAAAGCAATACAACCATTTCAGCCTCTTTCTTCAGACATATCTGTAAATGCACAGAATTGATGTTAGGGGTATAATTCTGAAAAGAAGAAAAAAGAAAAAAATCAACTGGATGCAGACTACTGATTTTCATAAAATTTTCTGTACGAAAACACATATCCATTTTAAACTCATCGACTGACTGCCGTTTTGATGTCTTCACTTTCGAAATAATGAGAAATGAGCAAGAATGATATAATACAATACATACATTTTTTTAAATAAAAGAAATCGTATTTTTGTTCATTCAGTATGGGCTCTTTTTTAAGACCATCCATTCGGCATGCAACTAAAAATGTAGCTTAGCAATACTAACATACCTGATAGCATCTTAGACGCACGCAAATCACACGTGTATTTATATCCAGGCCTCTTGTTAGACAGGAAATTTGACTCTAAGTTAAATTTCTGAAAATGTATTGACCGTGTCCTTATCATGGTTCTCCATATAATTCCATAGCAGTAATAAAGAATTGAAAAGTAACTATTTCTATGACTATGATAAAGTGTTTACGTCCACATTTCCAATTCATATATCTGATCCCTATCAAGGTATTTATTTTATTAAAGTCCATTATCAATATTTTACATGAAAACAATAAGATTTTAGCCGAATAAAGAAACTTTATTTTGATTGTTATTATTTTACATGATTCATCATTGACTGTTTTATTGTTTGGGTTTCTGGATTATTTCATCATTACTGAACACATTTGGATTATTTTTGTTGTCCTATCATAGACTGCGTTTGCGTGAATAGCGTTAAACAAGGGAACCTTACGCCGTTTCCTGATCCAAATCAGTACAATGTGTGCCCAACCCTACATTAAGTCAATCCATTAAGTAATATTTTTCCACTCCTAATTAAGGAGCTGTGTTAATTTAACGCCGTTATACGTTGACCCGCTTCCTAACCTCCAGCCCATCTCGTCCCACAAATGTTCGGTTGGGGACAAATCTGGACTGTTTGGTGGTCAATAAAAAAAATGGGACGTTTCTTTTGAGCCAGAAAGTCACTATAAACCATAGCTTTGTCCTTCAACACTTGGGTACGTTGACGGATAAGAGAAAGAAAGCGTGGTCTCAAGACCTGATCCCGATTTGTTACGGCTGTACATTGCCATTGACACCACGAGAGGTGTTTTTGGCCTTCAGATATCTCTGTCTATATCCTAACAGATCTTCCCCCTTATCTTAACATCACGCAAGTGTCAGAATATTTCTGAAAGCTTACAGGGTCGAGCAGAGTCACGGTCGGCTGAATTTTAACTGAAGAACATTTTACAGGTAGCTCAATGTCACATTTGTTTGAATTTCGTCCACGTGTCTATTACTAAAACCCAACTTGCGTTTCTTTTTTCCGCTTATATACATATACTTTGATATCCAAAATAGTATTGATGAAAGTCTTGTGTTTGGTGCACAAGTAAGTGTTACTTATATACTTTTCCATCCTTAATCTGCTGGTTATTTATTACTTATCATTTCCTTTTCTTAGCGTGAATCACTTCCTTCAGAAAACTCGAGTTCTCCTTACACGACAATCAAAGGGGTATGTGATTTTAATATTATTACATAATCAACACAGTGTCTAGTTATATCATAATTGCTTTATTTCATAAGTACTTTTATGTAGGATTATGATGTGTATTTAAGATTGAATAGCAGATACTGCAATCGCATAATTTAATCAGGAAAAAGATTCTGTCTACGATTTATTGCATCAATGTCCGCCTATACGCTAACAGACCTTCCCCCTAATCTGTCGCTTTCCAACGGTCGGCTGAATTTTAACTTAAGAACATAGTACAGTGCACTGAGGTAGCTCAGTGTTACATTTGTTTGAATTTCGTCCACGTGTCTAAAAGTTATATTACAAAAACTGAACTTGCGTTTCTTTTTTCCGCTTATATACATATACTTTGATATCCAAAATAGTATTAATGAAAGTCTTGTGTTTGGTGCACAAGTAAGTGTTACTTATATACTTTTCCATCCTTAATCTGCTGGTTATTTATTACTTATCATTTCCTTTTCTTAGCGTGAATCACTTCCTTCAGAAAACTCGAGTTCTTACACGTTAATCCAAGGGGTATGTGATTTTAATGTTATTACATAATCAGCACAATGTCAAGTTATGTCATAATTGTTTTATCTTATAAGTAATTTTATGGAGGATTATAATTCGGTTCTGTATGGTTTACCTTAATATTAGCATCAAGAAAATGTATAACGTTAAAAATGCACAAGTGTTGTTGGTCCTTATACAACCATTGTCCTGTGATTTGATTGTACTGTATCGTTTTACAATAACTATTAGATAGAATAATTAAATAAATATTTATATAATGATACTATTTCTATATCAATGACACTTTTGTCAAAATTAGATGATCTGACCTCACGAAGACAATTGTACAACGTCTACTTGCCAATCCCAATTAAAGATGTCTTCTCGTACATTATCGCCACTCACATCATTCACTTAACAACTACTTTCTTTGGTACCACGACAAACACCAGATTATGTATAGGCTTGTTACTGATGAGCAAACAATTGGACTGTTACTGTAGCAGAACTTTGAAACACCAGAAACTATTCGTCCTTAAGTAACAAGCGTGTGCAAAGTTTATCTATAATCTAATTACTGATGTGCTGTGAACGATAAAACCATGGTGCCGTATCTGCTTACTTATCGATATTTGTAAACAATATAAACTGAGGAAGATATAGAATATAACGTTAAATTCAAATAAAAAACTGTAAACACTGAAACGACAGAAATTCATCTGAATGTAATTTCCTACCGATATCAGTGCAATTTCTGTCGCAATATCGAAAGCAATATGTACATCCATAATCTTGTTTCTGTTTCCGAATATTGGTGAATCTGACTAGCGCTTTTTATTAAATTAAGAATGCAGATTTCATGCAGTATACCTTATCTCCGATAAGCTTGTAACAATACTAATAAACACAAATATCACACCAAGTTGTAGCATTGCGGTTTTATTATATCGTTCATATTTACTGCTTTTTTTTGTAGAACTCTGTCTTAGGACATGGACATCCGGCACAAACATTTGAAGAGTTTTTTCCGGAACGTCAGCGTTTGGTAAATCAAATTAGTAGATCTTTCTTACTATTGTTATGTGATTGAAGTACAGATCATCATTATTTACTATGTTATGAGGCTCTCATGGTGGCTGGTAATATATCATTAGTAGTGGTAAAGATATTCAAATGTTACTTCCTTGAGGGGTAGTTACCATATATGACACATTAAACACAATCTAGATTGCTTGCGATAGGTGCAGCCATCTTGGTATGGATAAGATCCGGGACACTCGGTTATCTATTTAATAACAACCAATCATGATAAGAGGAGGAGAGAAACAGATTTTGCTAGCCAGGTTTTGATTAGTTGGTTGAAACGTCATATGTTTGTGACCACTTTCCAATTACCAATCTTTATAATGTTGTGTAAAGATTAAATATCGTTTGGTGTTTAAAGAAAAACTATGAAATCTGAATAGATATTCGTTATAATGGTGTGTAAATTAATAAAATATTGTGCCAACATCGCTTATGTTTGCACTTCATTAGAAAAACGGGTCAACTTAACGTTTGATATATCATCTAGCTTATATATTACTGATTAAAAACATGTTCTAATTGTTCATTGTTAAGCTAAACAGTGACTTAATCACATTCTCATGTGCACCATTTTATATCACATTGTTCTCTCTTTATATGTATCCGTACTGGTGTGCAACAGATATCCTTGTAAACCAAATCATAGCAACTGTTTAATATTATATTTTAGAGTCCGAGACCTTCAAGTGACCAGACGTGCTTTACAGAAAGGGTAAGCATACTTTGATAGATCATGAAAACAAGGTTAATAAAAGCGTAATTTCCTTGTAACAGTCAATCAGATGAAGCTTGTATACATACATATTATTCACTTTCTCATGGGTATTAAATATCAACTAATGACGACTTTATTTTTCAGTGTGGTTGCCACTTCAAACAGGTTAGTACAATTAAACATATTTATGTTATAATATAGACGTTGCTTTCGAGGAATATCTAATAAAAATAGTTTTTATAGTTGTAAACATCGACCCTAAGGCTCCCTATATAAACATACTTTATACTGTGACGTTGTATTTTTCGTCTATATAAGTGTACGTCAAATTGATTGAAAGCTGTGCAACCCAGGTTTCCGGACATCTTGTATTCGAATGTTCCTGGATGTATTTGTAATCAAATATTCCTTGTAATTTCAAGATGCATCTTTTTCGGGCCATCGCCGTGAACGATTGAAATGCTAAGCCATCGGTCGTAGAGCTGTATTTAACCAATTTTTGATGTTTCAGATTTTGTGTTTTGGTGTCTTGCTGCTATTAGTGACTGCATCAGTACTGACATATATTGTCGTCTGGAAGTCTCCCCTAGATGAAGGTATGTTGATCGATAATTACAAATTGCTTCACGTATTAGATAACAGAAATATTATTTTATCTACTGTAATTAAATATAAATGTTCGCCAAACGCCATTCTCGTTGAAACTCATATACTATACATCATGAAATGTCCATTCTGTAAAAAAAAATATCCTCTTCGTGAATATAAACAAACCACGACAATAAATAGAAACGCATCACGCTTAAATGTACCGAAAATTGTGTAAAATAATTTGATACCCATGAAACACTTCATCCTTGAAATGATATCCTAGAATTCAACCATGAATAAAGAACCCCCAACAACATCGATAAGTTAGCACAAATTTCATATGAACATTGATTAGAATGTCTTAGAAATCAACAAAAGTAATGTCTCATGCATATTCTTTAGTCTATAATGAAATTTTTTAACCTGTTGAAGTTGCATGCCAAATACTTACCAATGAGATGGTATGCCCTTTCAAATCTGAATACGCAAAGATCCATATCTGGAATCCATCGAAACATTTGAAGAACGGAGGCGGGCGCACTTCCTATCCACTCCAGGAAGATACGGACGTTTCAATCGATGGTTTTAACATACGAGTAAAGCATGGAAATATTTCCATTCGGAAACGACCTTCTGACTGTGATGAAGAGGGTGACTATCCAATCCAGCTCAGTGGTGTGAACAACACAGAGATAACACAGAACAAATTATCCGTAAAAGTTAAAGGTAATATACATAGCTGTATGATTCTCTTTAGAACATTAAGAAAGTACTAAACGGTATTCGTTATGTTTAATCATGATCCTAGATTGTATAGAAATCAACGTAAAATGTATTTGTTAAAAGGATGAAGTCAATGTTTTGAAGAAAATAAACTTGATGTTTGCCAGAAATATTTATGTTTTGAAAGTCATGCTACATCATTGCTAACTTCAACAATCTGAGAGAAAAGTTATGCAAATTTTATGAAATTGACTATGTTGAAAGCTTGTGTCATTGTTATACAGGATTATACATCAGGCGCAAAATTGATTGATGCAGACATTATGATTAGTTTTGAGTTAGAGGTGGTAAGACACACCGATAATTAGTACAGGAGTTAATGGTTTGAACAAGAAGTGGTAAACACACCAATAGATAGTACAGGAGTTAAGAGTTTGAGTTAGATGTGGTAAATACACAAATAGATAGTACAGGAGTTAGGAGTTAGAACTAGAGGTGGTAAACACACAAATAGATAGTACAGGATTTAAGAGTTAGAAAAAGAGGTGGTAAACAAACCAATAGATAGTACAGAAGTTAAGAGTTAGAACTCGAGGTGGTAACACACAAATAGATAGTACAGGAGTTAAGAGTTAGAACTAGAGGTGGTAAACACACAAATAGATAGTACAGGAGTTAAGAGTTCGAACTAGTGGTGGTAAACACACAAATAGATAGTACAGGAGTTAAGAGTTAAACCTAGTGGTGGTAACACACAAATAGATAGTACAGGAGTTAAGAGTTAGAACTAGAGGTGGTAAACACACAAATAGATAGTACAGGATTTAAGAGTTAGAAAAAGAGGTGGTAAACAAACCAATAGATAGTACAGAAGTTAAGAGTTAGAACTCGAGGTGGTAACACACAAACAGATAGTACAGGAGTTAAGAGTTAGAACTAGAGGTGGTAAACACACAAATAGATAGTACAGGAGTTAAGAGTTCGAACTAGTGGTGGTAAACACACAAATAGTACAGGAGTTAAGAGTTAAACCTAGTGGTGGTAACACACAAATAGATAGTACAGGAGTTAAGAGTTAGAACTAGAGGTGGTAAACACACAAATAGATAGTACAGGAGTTAAGAGTTAGAACTAGTGGTGGTAAACACACAAATAGATAGTACAGGAGTTAAGAGTTAGAACCAGAGGTGGTAACACAAATAGATAGTACAGGAGTTAAGAGTTTGAGTTAGAGGAAGTATAAACAAATAATTAGATAAATGATAACTATGGTTCCCAAAATTCGAAAACTTAACATTCTTTGAAATTACGTATTGTATGTTGGCAATGAGGTCAAAGACGCTTACCATTCTGTAGAATCTCGCCTTATTGTCTTTGTATTTTTCTCATTCATTTTGGACTGTTTTGTTGACAAGTTTGTCTTTTTTATTGTTACAGATGACAGCGATGTTATGCATCTGGACATAACTCCATTTACAAATGCATCTGATGCCAAAAACTATACCCAAATCGTCTGTACAGGACACCATCAATGTGGAACTGTAGTGGTAGATCTTCAGCTGCAAATACAAGGCTTCGGTACATACTATCAGCCAATGGAATGTTCTCGGACCAACCCTGACGGGAAAATCCTGGACAACTACGGATATGCATGTACTCATATAATGACAACAGAAATATTTAATCGCATAGAAAATCTAACATGCAAGCCAACAGTGGAATCGCTAGAAGGCACGAAGACTCATTCTATTGCTCAACAATCCATTGATGTCATCAGTAAGAAATTTTATGTCATTTTCAATACCCTCTTAAAGAAATGGTGAACAATCATTTTCCAAGTATCCCCAACCTATGGTATTTCCATGTTATTCGATATTTAATAGTCCGTTCTCATTATCACGATTTTCGTGCAGGAAGTTACCTACTGACGGACAAACCCGTTACACAGGGTTTCAAATGATGCAGATTTTTGAAAACTTTGGGGAAATTTTAGGGTCGGCATAGTGATTTCACGGCGAAATATCATTGTTCCTGAACACCTGGTCTACTTGTCCGTTTTTGTATGTAAATTTTTGTTTTGCTCATATTTTGCCCTAGTTTGATGGAATTATGTTTACATGTTATTTTCTTGTTTTTTTTCACTCAAATTGTACCTGTTAATGCTAAATAATCCTTTGACGAAGTGGTTGCAAAATTGCTTAATTATATTGCTGATTCTACTGTCCACTCGGCTGAAAATATATACCCGTCTGGGATTTTTTATTTTATATTTTGAAACAAAGACAACGTTGTGATGCAGATATTTTCCTGATTTCCCTTACCTCTGACTAACCTAAATAAGTATTTTCTCATTTTGATATATCGTGACAATTAAATCACAGTTCCAACTTCCACATAAATCGCGTAAGACTGCATTTCTAGTTCAATCGACCTATGTCACGGTCCATCATCGTCACAGTCAGTGCTTATGAACACTTATGCGGATGTGGTTGGAATAGCTTTGATGATGAGTATCTGATTAGATATTCACATAATCATTAATATTTTGATAACCATAATTCAAGTGTCAATTCACAATGCGACACATTATATAAGTATTAATTTTATAACTTGTTAAAGATTAATCGGGTCAGACTATATGACAATATTCTTCCTCTGTAAATTACGCGTTTTATTTGTTTTAGCCAGTCATTAATTGTTACAAATCTTCAATCACAGAGAGGTTCCATATAATTTAAATCATGGTTATTTTTTTAGGTGCTACTCGGTACAAGTTTGAACTAGATCAAGGCAAACCTTCAACATTAAAGTGGAACGTGAATATACCCCCATTAACAAACATTAGTCTTCTTCAAACGGAAAACAACGGTGTTATTCACCAAAACGAGTCTGTCCAACACGAACGAGTACAACTATTCATAAGAATTGAATATCATGTTGCTAAATTGCAAGTGAGCTTCAATCCAGTCACATGCATTGACAATGGAACTCTGGAACTACATTTTCAAAATGGTGACAAACAACGCAAAGAAATCGAAGTAAATGGTAAGAACAGCACTCCGCTATTTTTTTTTTTTTTTTTTATCAAATGGATATGGGTAATAAATTGAGCACTAATTAATTGTTATTTGCAACACAGTCCCTTGCATCTCAATAGAAGGTGAAGGAACATGTTATTAGATAGTATATGTGTAAATCATACATTGAGTAACTTCTGGAAATTATCCGAGAAAAAAATTTGAATGATGTGGAAATGACTCCCAAATATGTATCCTGTTGTAAGCACGAAATGTCTATCGTTTGACCATGTACTTCAGGTGTTCATATGTTTATAACTTAAAAGGACATCATTTTATGAATTCATCCTTTCCCGACTTTAAGATGATATGTTCCAATGATAACTGCAATTTTTAGAAATAATTCATGAGGTAAACACTGACCTTAATCACCTGAGTGTAACCTATGGCGATTCGATAGTCGTTTTGTATAGGAAAGTATTGTTTCGATGTCTGTTAAAAATAATCTGAATTGACCTGTTTAACTTGACTCAAACTAGTACACTAAAACTCCAAACAGAATTAATCAACCAATCAAAAAGGCTTTATGTTATGTAAAGTCCGATCATTAAGCTACGTCTCCTGGATACCAGTGTCAAAACAACGTGATACTACATCATGATCAGAAGATGCAGTGGCACAATGATTAAATACGCGTCCATAATTAGGGATTAATTGAAGCATACATTGTGTTAATTAACCAGAAGAAAGACATGTCATGGTAGCTGTTATAACATTAAGTAATCTGAAATCACTTCATAGTTACCACAATAATGTGCACATAACCTCTCCCCACATTTTGTTAACTTGACATTGGATCAAACTGTAATGATATTTACATGGTTCACATGATTGGTGTTATCAGTCGGATTAAACAATTAGATTTCATTCAAGCTGGTCCTCCGTTTTATTTATTACAGGAATGTCGACTTTTAAAGCATGCCCTGAGTATTTGAAAGTTTCCGTTGGTGATGAGCTTAAACTGAGCTTTCTATCTTGCGTGCCCGATGATGTGAGTAGATACACTTTGGATCTTTACGGGATACATAACAGAAGCGGATTCTTTCTGCGTGATCAAGCTATTTCTATTGATGACCATTCTGGAAATTTTCTAGGGTACCTGTCTCTCAATGAGTTATCGGTGAATTACACAAAACGCCTACCGATCACATGTGCTGACCATGAGAAGGCATTCAAAATGTCACTGCAAACAATAACAGGAAAAACCATACGACACTTCACGTCTCTCACGATTGTCAACGGTACGTCCTATCGGCATTATCTGACAACAAATAGAGCAAGCACTCTTTAAGTTAAATGTGTTTAATACATTGCCAATTGTTTATGTTTAAATATTTGTAAAATATTTTTAAAATTTTCATGTTCTGTGACACTGGTTTACCTAACCTTGAATTGTAACTGTCTGAGAAGTTAAGATGGTAAAATAAGAATATTCTGTGTTTTCTCATGTAATACACATATGTTGATTCTATTTTTTCTATAGCGGACAGGGGACGATATGAAAGCTTTACAACTGGAGGAGATTTCCGAGAACACCTCCCAGCAGTTGTCTATCAGCGGCTTCATTTGGGATGCAGACCGGGAAACCTGCAACTATACGTAAACGGATCCTTCCTGAATGGTCCATATCGTTTAACAGAGGCCACTTACTCTGGAGAGAAAATTTTCAATGAATCATTTACGTTCCCAAACCTTACCATGGCAGATCATGGAACGACAGTGTCTTTGCATGTCAGTTTTATAGACGACGAAGGATCCCCCCGATATCTCAGTAGCACACAAGAGATTCGTGTCCTACCAGGTAGATATACATTTATCAAAAGTTATATCTTTGTCAGGAGTGTTCAATATAAGATACAAATAACACTTTTTTCAAACGAGTATTTGAAAATTCCTTTCATAGGTAGGTAGCGCATTAAAGGAAGCTGTAGCCTCACTTAATTTACGTGCTTTCTCAAAAAGGAATGTGTGAACCAATCTAACATAAATTACAGAGTTTGAAAAATCTGAAGATGCAACAATACATTGCCATATTTGCTACACATTCCAGATTTATTGTATTTCCTTGGTAAGTAGGTTGTTTGTTAGTTGGTTAGTAAAACGAACCCATCTCTCACATAGGTATTGCCATTGAAACGAAAATGCAGCTGGGGCTGACATTGGTGGGATTCACGTGCCACATATATTTTGCGCTATTCTGAAGCTGTATTTTAACATAGGCATTAATTCAATATGTTATAAAGAACCATTTTTATTGGTGAATATCATCTGACAACATTAAGCGTAACATTAACTTCAGGTAAACAAGGATTGAACATCAAAACTTATCTCGTTTCTATTGTCTCTTCGATGGAGCCTCGTGTCTTTTTTTTTTTTTTTTTTTTTACCCTCGCTGAAATATTCAGACACTGACCAAGTATCCTCGATGTATATCAAACGAGAGATTAGTATCTGTTGTTTATAACTCTCATTACTGTCAATACCCGGTGTTGTATAATGGTATTTTAATAATCTAAGCAGATATACATAAGTGTGCCCTTTCCATAATCACAACTCAATAATGAATGACCATATCATTTTAAGATAGTGTTAAGAGTATTTCACAATCAGGGAAAATTAAAAAAAATTACCACAAATCATTGTTAGTTAAATGTTTTTCATCTTTAACACTTTTGTATTTTCTACGATATATTCACACCTTAAGCTGCAACCAATAAACACCTACTTTTTACAGATACATTTTGCAAGGGAAGACAACATGGTTGCAACTTTAACCATCCATACAACGCCAACATGTATGTAGCATGTGGTGAAGGACTTATTGCGGATTTGCTGAAATGTCCGTATGAGTTAGTGTTCGTCGAGTCTAACTGTGAGGGACAGTGTTGTCCCCAGGATGAAACAACCAACTGCCGACGACCCTAAATAATGCTCGTTTATCAATGGTGTAGGCAGCATTGCCAACAACGGCACGCCGGGAAAATCTCTCAATTTTTAATGGCTTTACAGGAAATTTGAAAATGTAAATTTAGAAAGAATGATGTCAGATATAGTTGTAAATGGGATAACCCTTTCGTAGAACAAAAAAAAAAACACTCGTTTCAATATCCGTTGGAATGGACAATAGAAATGTAAGTGTTTACCAAGGAATGAAAAAAAAAAGAAATTTCATAAACGTTAAAGTATATGCCGCAAATGAACTGATATGTTAAAAACAATTTCACAACGCCTTATGGTATAGAATTATCAAAGGTTGATATTTGTAATAATACTTAACTTCTTAGTTGTTGTTGTAGCAGCAACGATGGATGTAGTTGCGCATGGTTTTGAGGTATTTCATGTTACATTGAGTCAATTAACTATTGAAAAAAGAAGGGTTATTATACCAGTTGGAAGAGAACTTATTATAAAATCACTTATGATATCACGATTTAATCATCTGTTTATATCTCTTCCAAATCCACATAGGAATTTTTGGAAGCTGAAAAACAGAATTATTGATCTTTCGTTCGAAGAGTAAAAATTGCAAAATATAAAGAGATGATTTATTTTTTTCTGAAGGGTGGGCCTAAAATATTATCTGTTATGGAAGTACTGAAATTGACATAAATGAATAAGAAAACTAATAGAGTATCTATTAAATTGCAAGCAATTTTTAAACCTTTCAAACCAAATTATAACCATCTACACCTATCCATTCTTTTACGAAGTAGAAATACCTCCCTGTTTTGCACGCAAAAACGAAATCTAAAAAAATAAGAGCACACACTTTCCGGACATGCAAAATGTACAAGAATTGTATGACTCTTTTATAAGATGCCTTACTTATTCCATTCATTTAATGATAATGAAATAATTCTTACAATAAGACAATGTATTTATAAATATAGATGCATCCAAGTTCCACTAAATATTATTGATTTAACAACACTATCATGTCCAATTATATGGTACTAATGGTAAAGACGATGATTTTAAATCTAAATTCAAAACAATGAAGAAATAAATTGGTCAAATTAGTTGACACCAATTTATAAATTCTGGCATCAATTTTTAATCTAATTTTATTATTATGTTCTTTCCGCTAACTTCTTTTGTATTGTTATACATATATGTCTTCTATGTGATACGCAGTGCGGTGTAATGTTTCTGTATTTGAATGTCATATTGTTTTCGCAGTATTATAAGTAAGGATCGATGTATATGTGTATATATGAGTAAATGTGTGTAAATAAGAGTGTTAGTAGGTTTGTTACCATGTTTATGTATATCTTTATTGAGCCTAATGCAATGTAAAGTTTTGGAAAATAAAACAAATACAAAAGCATGATGAGTTATAACACTCGACTTTAAACTATTTATACACATTTACATTTGTTTTATAATGTTTGGAAATCATCGTTTTGTATAGGATTAACGTTACTTACCTATGTTAGTTGTAGAATACTGTACTTTCCTACTTCTCACTTATCTTTCCATAAATCAATACTCAAACGGACATATCTCACTGAAGCTGAATAGTGATTCTTTCGTATACGTTACACAAACTATTATGCATATTGTAACAAAATGAGTAAAAAAATGGGTTTAATGGTAATTTTGGAATGGTGTGTATCGTAGAGAGCAGCATCTTAGTTTAAAGTACATCAGGTCAAAAGTCAGTTAATGCTGGACCGAGGAAAAGATCCCGTGAGTGATAGATAGTAATGCACGCCTGATAACGGGCGGGGTTTGTACCCAAGTGGTGAAGTACCGTGGCAGAATATCGCCAGTATGATTGATCAGGACAGATAGATGCTCTCTTTTGTATGCCTCGCGCTGGCGAATATATTTGTAAGTAAACGAGATAAGAAACAATGTATAAGGTAGATCAACGATGGGAAGTTGATAACAGGTACTCCTAGTCGCACGTGCCTTCATAATTAGATGCTCCGGGGGCTGGGTTATTGTTGTCCAATTGGGACTAGGCTTAAATTAAGTATTTGGGTATTATTTATACAAAGATAATAGCCAGTAGAAGTGTAGTCGAGTCTGGGATCGAGTAGCTAGAGAGAGTTGGGAGTCGGACGTGGAGACGGGCAGAGTCCCGTAAGGGACCTGCTCCGCGATGGAGCGGGTCCTGGCCAAGTTGGCCAATGAACATGTGTATGGAACTCTTTGATATGGACGGGCAGGTTTTTAGTTTTTGTCTGCCTTACACAGGTGTTTAGTTTTGGTGCCACGACGTGATGCTATATGTTGATTAGGAACTATCTTTTGTAATAGATATTAACGCGAAGTACTAATTATGGAAAACCACTATACGATGAAATAAACGTTTCGGTCAACCCAAGTAAACACTGTGTTTAGTCATTGTGTTACAATATGGAACTTATATATACTGATATAATACAAACAATATCAAATATATCTCAAATTCTCAATGTCTAAGCGATAGCGGTCATACGTTAATTGTGTGATGATATTAGAATGTTACCTTTTCCATGCTGTTGAAGAAATTTGTAGAAAACAATATGGAGAGTGGAATATCAATGTAACTGTTTATTTTGATTTAGTCATCAAATACTTTAACGTAAATGTGTTTGGTGTAAATATAAAGTCTTAGTAAAAGCGGTCATACTATCTTTAATCTTACGATGCTATCGGTATGCCACCTTATCCATGCTGTTCAGGATTAAAAAAACAACGATATCGAGATGTAAATCTAACTGTGATATGGTGTTACTGAATTCAAGGGAAAAAGCCCAAAACCAAAGAAGGTTTACATATATATCTCGATTAAATTGTATATAGATAATGAGTACGTAATTAGAAATGAAATACGACTGTTTTTTTCAATTTTATTTTTCTTTTATTTATTTACTTTTGTTTTGTTTTTGTTTTTTGTTTTTGTTTTTGTAGTGGTTTAATATACCAAAGAATGGTGACTTGGTTGAATCTGAAATTTAAATTAGTTTATGAGTTAGCTTCAATCTGTACGAATAAACTGTAAAGGTCTTGTTAATATTGTTACTTGTACATTGTATGCTCGAACACTTTTACTTTGTGTAGTGTTATTTGATTTTAATTTGATAAAAATATACCTGATTGAATTTGGTAGATTTTTATAATTACGATCAACTGGACGGAAACAGAACAAAACGTAATGATTGATATCTTAGTCTAGCATTAAGGAGTCTCATGCGCTCAATTTTAATTTGGGTAGGATTCACTGGTGTTCAGATATATTTTATATTACAAGACAACGCCATTGTGACGTCATCTATGTGCCGTGTTGATCGAAGTTACTTCAACGTTTTGCTTTAATCCTTGTCGTTGTGGCAAGATAGTCTTAATATATAACATTACTTTACCTCATTAGACGTCACAAAATTGGACTGTTCGTCCCACGCGCATACCCGCCGATATGATGCTTTTTCAGGTTTTTCACACCCACCGCCATGACACTTTTTCAAGTTTTTGTAGATAAAAAGTTTGCGCTTCGTAGGCAAGGTGCAGTTGGTGCTCATGATTTATGAATAATATATATTTTAATACCGTACTGATCATGATGTTGACTTTGTTATAACTTATATTTACACATGGGCAGGAAGGTTACACCAGAGGCGGTCAATTGTTCCCCTTCCCACCTCCGTCGTTATCTCTGATAATGAATATTTTGATTAGAGCACTAATGAGCCGCGCCGGACATGGCAGCAGCATCAACTCACATGGTATAAAATGTCCCTCGGACAAAACAAATATCGCAACTTGATGAAACAGACATGATGATATTTTGAAATAATATCTCTAATGTGAAGTTAACTATTGAACGTTTGTCCTGTGTGGTATGTTGTCAATATGCATGCCATCTGGAATACAACTCTACAAAATGTATCATATTGATTTATGTGTAGACATCATGATATTTATCTGTCACCTACATTTGTATATTGTTATTTACAGTTAGGAACGTTCGTTAGAAGTCTCAAAAGGATATGTTTGATGAACAACTGTCGAATAAGAAAATAACAGGCAATAAAGCATTATTCAATTTGTGATCATTAGTTGAATTCCCATTCTTCATTGGTGTTAAATCTATTAGCGATAAATTCTAGAATCCAGTGATATGTAGCTGCCAATGCCTGTGTTGAGCTATAAGTAAAGCTATTATTTCAATAAGTATCCCAGTCTTTGCTGATTTATGTATTTTTCATGCGTACATATAAAAGATTAAATTTATCAAAGAGCTTTTCTGAAAAGTGAATAGTAATCTTGACGAATCCTTTAATTTTACTTCATTTAAAGATATAATGATAATGTGTCCATTTACAAATGAAAGGAAAAAAATTAAAAAGAAAAGAATAAAATAAATTTATTTAACATTTCCAGCGAGTACTACCTAATGAGCCTACAAATAGCGACACGAAAGATGCAACAGAAAATTCAGACGTGTTGAGCAAATCCCAATTCCATCACTAAATCGACGAAACGATAGCGAGTAATGACCAAAAATAGCAATAAACACGAGGATATAGACTATAGTATATATATGTCACTAAGGTAAGATAGACTATATATAGTGAATCATGTAAGGTAAGATAGACTATATATGTCAAAGTAACAGACTATAATAACTATATATATCTAATTCACTATATATGTGTCAAAAGGTAAGATAGACTATAGATAACTATATATGACTATATATGTCACTAAGGTAAGATACTATATATGTGTATATACTATATATGTGTCACTAAGGTAAGATAGACTATATATATGTCACTAAGGTAAGATAGAATATATTTGTGTCACAAAGTTAAGATAGACTATATATGTCACTAAGGTAAGATAGACTATATATGTGTCACTAAGGTAAGATAGACTATATATATGTCACTAAGGTAAGATCGACTATATATGTGTCACAAAGGTAAGATAGA